AAATTATAATTTTTTTTTTGGTAGTATTTTTATTATATTGAATCGAAATTTGATTCTAAACTAAGAATCAGTTTCAAATCGAACAGTGACCTCATAAATCAAATCAAATCGTGAGATTTCAAGCCCCTAATTTTTACCACTTTTCCATTCCCAGGTACTTATGTGACCGTGTAGTACCAGGCAACAGAGTAACCGTCATGGGCATCTACTCCATCAAGAAGGTGGCGCAGACCAAGGCCAAAGGTCGCGATAAGGGAGCAGGTGTGGGCATCCGATCAGCGTACCTGCGCGTTGTCGGCATTGAAGTGGATACTGAGGGAGCAGGTGAGCATGTGGGGAATTTGTTTTGGTTGAAAACAGTATCTCTCTTTAGCCATTCTCATGTCCTTCTCACTGGCTTTCAGGCCGAGGAGCCTCTGGTTCAGTTTCTCCTCAGGAGGAAGAGGAGTTGAGGGCTCTTGCTTCCTCTCCCTCCGTCTATGACTCGCTGGCTCGCTCTCTGGCCCCGTCCATCTACGGTAGCGACGACCTGAAGAAAGCCATAGTGTGCCTTCTGTTTGGGGGCTCCAGGAAGAGGTGAGAAAACATAGAAACTGCCTCCTCTTTCCAGCTTGTGTGTTTTTGCCATCTTTCTAATCTGCGTGTAACTGTTTTTGTTAGGTTGCCTGATGGTTTGACACGCAGAGGGGATATTAACTTGTTGATGCTGGGAGATCCAGGCACAGCCAAGTCTCAGTTGCTGAAGTTTGTGGAGAGATGTTCTCCGATTGGGGTAAGACTGAGACAAAGATGCACCATCATATGCTCACCGTCATGTCATTCGTATGAATTTCTTCATACGTGCAACACAAAAAGAGATGTTTTGAAAAATGTTCTTGCTGCCCTTTGCAATACTATGAAAGTTTAGTGAACAAAAATTATTTGTAATAACTTATGTTTTGTAATTTAACACTTATGGTGTGTGTATATATACACACACACACACACACACACAATATTACACGTCCTATGAAATATTTATGATATTTAATGATGACATGCATTACATTTTATAAAATATATTACAAAAAAGTACATGCCGTTAAATCTAAACACATATGTGACCTTGGACCACAAAACCAGTCATAAGTAGCATGGGTATATTTGTAGCAATAAACAAAATACATTGTATGGGTCAAAATGATCGATTTTTCTTTTATGCCAAAAATCATTAGGATATTAAGTAAAGATCATGTTCCATGAAGATATTTTGCAAATGTCCTACCTTAAATATATCAAAACTTAATTTTTGATTAGTAATATGCATTGCTAAGGACTTCATTTGGACAACTTTATTAGGCGATTTTCTCAATATTTTGATTTTTTTGCACCCTCAGATTCCAGATTTTAAAATAGTTGGATCTCGGACAAATAGTGTATGTGTTCCTAACAACACATACATCAATGGAATGCTTATTTATTCAGCTTTCAGATGATGTACAAATCTCAATTTTGAAAAATTGACACTTAAGACTGGTTTTGTGGTCCATGGTCACACATGTATGTACAGTATGTCTATATATTTAAGGCAAAGTTACATTCACATATACATATGTGGCATGCATTATATTTTATAATATTTTATATTGTAATGCATGTCATATTGTTACATGCCATAAGTCGTATTATAAATATTTAATGTTGGACATGCAGTGTATTTTATATATTTATATAATAATATAGTATTAAATTATGTGTGTCTCTGTATGTATATTTAAATATGTAATTTGACTTTCAGTATGTGTTGGAACATAATTTTATAGATTTTTTTGTAATTATATAATGATAAATTGTGTATGAGTGTGTGAAAATAATTAGTCTTCACTTACATAAATGATTCCTAGAATCTGCATTAAAGTGAATGTGGTTCGTCTGTGTTAGGTCTACACGTCTGGTAAGGGCAGCAGTGCAGCTGGTTTGACCGCCTCAGTGCTGCGAGACCCCAACACTCGTGGTTTCGTCATGGAGGGTGGTGCCATGGTGCTGGCTGATGGAGGAGTGGTCTGCATTGATGAGTTTGACAAGGTTGGACTTCTAAGCAATCTGAATTTCCTGAACATACATGTTGTGTTCATGCAGTCTTATGAAATGCTTTGAGCTTTATGCTAAACTATTGCGTTCTTCTTTTTTTAAAAGATGAGAGAGGATGACAGAGTCGCCATCCATGAGGCCATGGAGCAGCAGACCATTTCTATCGCAAAGGTACCAGGCTTTTTTTACTTAATTGCATTGACCAATAGAAATCCACTATTTCTTTAGCTTACGGTCTCGACTGATCCATTTCTTTGATTAACTCTTGTTTTTTTACCTGAAGGCTGGCATTACCACCACTCTGAACTCCCGCTGCTCTGTATTGGCCGCTGCCAACTCGGTGTTCGGCCGCTGGGATGATACAAAAGGAGAGGACAACATTGACTTCATGCCCACTATTCTGTCTCGATTTGACATGATCTTCATCATCAAAGACCATCATGACCAACAGCGAGACATGGTGGGCGAACAAAACAACCACTGCTTATGGATCTCATTGAAGAGTTTGATTTTATATGAACTAATGCACAAGCCCGTGTGTTTTTCTTAAGACTTTGGCCCGGCACGTGATGAACGTTCACATGAGTGCTCAGACGCAGACGGAGGGTGTCGAGGGAGAGATTCCTCTGGCCACGCTGAAGAAATACGTCGCCTACTGCAGAGCGTAAGTCATTAAACACAGTGTGAAATATCGTTCATCCATGTTTGTCTATCAAAATGAAAATGCGTTAACTCACAAACAGGAAATGTGGACCCCGTCTGTCTGCGATGGCCGCAGAGAAACTGAAGAACAGATACGTGGTGATGAGGAGCGGAGCGAAGGAACACGAGAGAGAGACCGACAGACGTGTGTCCATCCCCATCACTGTCAGGTAACCACTCAGTTCAGTGTTGTGACACTTGTCTTTACTCATTTTGTTCCTAGATGTATATTTTTACATCCTGCATGTAGTTATGGAATTATTTACAGTATATACTTGTTGATATTTAATGGTTGGTGATCTGTCGTCCTGCAGGCAGCTTGAGGCCGTGGTGCGCATTGCAGAGTCTCTCGCTAAGATGAAGCTGCAGCCCATCGCTGGAGAGGAAGAGGTGGACGAGGCTCTGAGACTCTTCCAGGTGTCCACGCTGGACGCGGCTCTGTCCGGCAGTCTCTCCGGTGAGTGTGTTGGTCTTTCAGGCCGAGAATAAACTGCAGTATTACGTATCACGGGTAGATTTCTTATGGGGGACTAGGATTGCCACTTAAGAATAAAATTATTTTAGTCAGGTTAATTGATAACTAAATACATTTTTTTAAATTCAAAAATAATATTAAAATATTTTATTTGAATATATATATATATATATATTAGTAATATAACTATATATAAGTCAAATATATAGTTTTAGAACTATTGTAGTAGTTAAAATGAATGTTGAATTTTTTTAAATATGTTGCCAAAAAATAAACATTTTACATTCAATAAAAAATAATCATATTAAATGTCAATCACATATGAATCACATTAATTAATAATATATAAAATATAATACAAGTCATTTTTCAGATGGATAAATATAATTTTTTTAGAAACCATATAAAACTAGTTAAAATTGTAAAGCAATAAACTGATTTTTTTTTTTAAATGTATTGCCAAATGTTGCAGTTAATAATTATATATTTTACATAGATTGATAATTGATTTATTAATTTCACATTTATATTCTTTGAGTGGTACTGGGTCAAAGTATTCATAATTTTATTAACAAGGTGCAAATAATTATGTTAGGGTAATAAAACTGCTTGATAGCTATAAATTCATGAATGAATGTTTGTTGAACAATCATTTACACTTATTTTGTTATTATTTCCAGCCCGTTGTATCTTAAAATCATTCTCACAAGTTGACAAATCCTCAGCTATGTTAGGCAGCAAATTTTATTTAAAAGTGGAATTTGTACCAACGATGTTCAGTCCATCATAGAAAACTAGCCCTGCACTGTCTAGCCTCTATAAATGTATCTGGAGAGTCTGATGTAGCAGTGCTGTCTGATTGTAGGTGTTGAAGGATTTACCACTCAGGAGGATCAGGAGCTGATCTCTCGCATAGAAAAACAGCTGAAGAGACGCTTCGCCATCGGCTCCCAGGTGTCTGAACACAGCATCATACAGGATTTCACCAAACAGGTGAGTTAAAGCTGGCCCAGGAGCTGCTCACAACCTGGCAAACTTCTCAAATCACTATTTTAGTTCATGCGTCGTGTATATAAAATGTCTTTTCTCCTCTCCTCTGAACAGAAATATCCAGAACACGCCATTCACAAAGTCCTTCATCTGATGATGAGGAGAGGTGAAGTGCAGCACCGCATGCAGAGGAAGGTTCTCTACAGGGTCAAGTAGACAGATGCTGTGTGTTTGTCTCACATTATTCGGTCAGCAGAACCTGAGATCTGATGGGCATCTAAAGGCAGAAATAAGCCACTGCAAAAATGATATACAATCCCGATTTATTGTACATAGTTGTTTGGATACTTTATAGCTGGAGAAATGTCCCGCTTATCATTCCTACTGTTTGCTGAGAATTTTTTCTCATCTTGCTCAGTCAAAGCTTGGTATGATTCAAGTATGTTACCATAGTGACGATATGCTTTACTGTCTTTATGTGGTTTCTTAGTGGAAAAGGTTTCATTAAAAATCTAATTTGATTGTCAGTTCTGTGTCAAACTAAAGATATGGACGTGTTTTGTATGGAAACAAAGCATTTAAGAAATTAATATTTTTGTGTCTCTTTTAGCAAAAAAAGACAAATCAGTGTTGAATTTAAAAATAGCTTTATTGCATTTCACAGAAATACATAGAAAGCAATTACAAATGTAGATGAGCGTTTTAAAAATGTGCAAGTTTTAAAGAAAAACATTTTTTTTCTAAAACTTTGAAAATTCAATTATTTAAATTAATTGAAGATGTAATTGATTTATTACTGGGTGCATGTTTTATAATATCCATGATTAGTGTGTGTTAAAGATCAGCCTGTAGATTTTATCTCGTCATAATATTAAGATGTTACAAAATTTGAAGGATTAAAAGTTCTACGCATCAAAATGCATAAACTCCCATTCCAACCGTTGCCAAAGTGATTCCCACACCCAATGCGAACTGAAGCGCTGGAGAGCTGGAGAAGGTTTTTGACTGAGTTTTGGATGTGACGTCATTTCCTTTTCCACCTAAACAAAAAGCAAAATGGTATCATTATCTCATATAGTTACTGTTTCAAAGCATTTAATGACTTGTATTTCGTGAAACTCACTTGAAGCTTCCTCTGTGATGCTCAGCATTTTCTGAAGATCATCAAAAACCTGTTGAAAATGGCACATACATTGCATTAACCTTTGAAGTTTGGGCTTGGCAAGATTTAAAATGTTTTTGACCAGTCAAGTTCGCCAAGGCTGCATTTATTTGAGCAAAAAATACAGTAAAAACAGTACAATTGTGAAACATTACAATTTAAAATGTTTTCTATTTGAATATATTGTAAAACATAATTTATTCCTGTGAAGCAAAGCTGAAATTTCAGCATCATCCATCACTCCAGTCTTCAGTGTCACATGATCCTTCAGAAATCAGTCTAATATGCTGATTTGATGCTTAACATTTATTATTATCAATGTTGACAACAGTTGTGCTGTTTAATATTTTTGTGGAAACTGATACATTTGTTTCTTTGATGAACAGAAAGTTCGAAGAACAGCATTTATTTGAAATAGAAATCGAACACAAATAACTTTACTGTCACATTTGATCAAACTAATACATCTTTGCTAAATAAAAGGATCAATTTTATACATACAAGTGTAAGATGTTAATGCTCACCTCAATGTTGAACTCAAAAGCTCTGGTGGCCTCGTCCAGCACTTCCCGTCTCTGCTGCTCTGTTAACTCAATGCTGTTCATTCTGCTCCTGTACAGCTGCTTGAATCTGTTGGCGCTTGTCACTCCAGGAAACGAGAAGAAGAAAACTCCCTTGTTCCCACTCAGTCCCAAGGACTTCTGGGTGATTTTGCCCAGCACCTGTCCTCCTGACAAATCACCAAGATAGCGCGTATATGCATGTGCCACTAGAAGATTGGGGCTGTTCTTGCCAATCTAAAGGAGAACCAAGAGCACAGAGTTACAATGAGAGTCACTGGAACGTAAATGCAGTTTCATTTCCTTAAAGAAATCGTTCCCAGACTCACCTCTCTCAGTCTTTGGGTGTATTTGTGAGTGGCGGCAGGCACTGTTATCCTCTTCCTCCAGTGGGGTCCGAAGAAGTGCTCCAGGTCCAGCTCCAGAGTCTCCAGTCTGGCCAGCTCCTGAGGGAAGTAGATGGGCTGAACTGCGGGATGATCGGCGTTCCTGTCCAGCTCTGCCTCGAGGGCTCGGTAGATCTCATACAGAGAGCACAGCAGGAGCTAGAAACATACATTTACATGTTTAACACAATTAAAGTTAGCTTTTAGTCTTTAAAAGATTACTGTGGCTGTACTTCTGATGTATTAAGGGATAATT